ATGTAAATGCAAACCAAATACAAATATTCCCTTGAATACAGTAGATTGTTTGCTATGCTCTTTACAGAAGGAGGCCAGCATGATACAATACACAGAGAAGAAGAGGAGCATTTGCATTTAATGACAGTCCTGCAAGAATGCAACCCCACCACCCTATGCCATAAGCACACGCTTGTTGATGAGAAAGGCATCAGAAAGTCTTTTTGCAGATAGTACACACAGTTTTCTGCCTTTTTTTTAGTACTGTTGTATAACACTGTCACAAACTTCTAATTAGGTTTCATATAATTATGTTCATGTCCAATAATCTCAGTGTCAAACTCTAGTTGCAAAAAATATTTGAATGCAAAGATTCATGAATATGTCTTTGAGGGAGTGGATGCTGATTGCATTTTAATATTTAGCATAAGAAATCCCAACATGTTTATCAGAAGGAACTGAAAGCATTATACAAAGACTGCAAGTTTAAAGTCTTTTGGGGGAAGGTAAAGCATGACAATTGGAATTAACTGTATTCAAAGGGTTTTTTATTTTCTGAAAAAATATAAAATTTTGTATCTTACACTACAAAAAACATGTACACAAACCAAATGCACAGAGAACTTCAAATGAAGAAAAAAAATACAGAAATGCTAGTTCTTCCTTGAATTAATGCTGAGGCATGGATCTGAGCTATCCCAGTGCCTAACACAGAATAAAATAACTCTATACAGTTGCTTATAACCTGCCTGAAACTAAAACATTAAAATGAACATATTAACAAATGACTGAGTCTAAGTTTTATCCTCAGACTATTATAAATGAAATTTACACACTTTAAAATAATTAATTATAAAACTAATAGCAGTCTAAAGAAGAACAAGTATGTTGACCACTGAGATTTCTACTGTTAAGACAGCCCAGCCTGAATAAACATGATGTATTTTGCCACCATCAACTTTTTTCACTTACATTTAGAAGAAACAAATGATATTTGATTCTGATTATTATAAAAGACTCTTTTTAAAAAAGAATTGGTGTCTTTCCCTAAGCAATAATTATGTGGTCATTCTGAACAAGAACATTCAATCATCTATGTGTAAAAAGACCTTTTCATAAATCAACAAGAAATGAAAAGAAAGTTCTTATCTATTTCTTCTTGATACATTGCTATATAATTAACAGCATAATAGAGAAAATATTCAATGTAACCAGCTGTGCCTCAGAGTTGAAAAAATGGTGACTTATTCTAGTTATTAATTCCAAATAAAACTAGCACTTTGTTTACTCATTATCATCATCATCATCTTATTGTACCTACTTTTATTTTGAGGTTACACATCTGGAGGACATAAGCAAAGACAGTTTACTATCATACTTATCTTTCTTTTTTCTTATTTTTAGAAAGAACAAAATGAGAAAAGAGTCTTATTCTACTACTCAACATCATACATCTAGTAAATTTCTAACATCTGACTCAACTGGCATTTGCCATCCAATGCACGATTACAGTAAAAAATGTCTTCCATAGGTAAGTATCTCTGCTTGTGCTTCTGAGAGCCCACTTTACATGGGATAAAGAATGGTGGTTAAAAAAAAATCTTTTAACTTTCACATGGAGATTAAATAGAAGACATGCAAACACATTAAGTGCTCAATGATATTAATTTTCCATTTAAACTTGAGATAGGAAACTATTTCTTCACCATTGTGCACTGGTTAGAACTCTTACAAACTGAGTTAAGGATGTTATGTATTGTTCTGGCAACTCGAAAACTAAGAATGCTGATCACATGTAAGTTTAGATAGAATATTAGAATATAATTTTTACAGTAATCCTACAACTTCAGAATACTGACTTGGTGATTAAAACACAAGAAATAAAACACATGCACATCAATTTTTTTTAAATGGGAAAATCAAAATTTTCACCTTTTAACATACAATGCACACATTTCCAACGGCCAAGGAGAGAAACTGAGTATGTCATTTTTACATGCGAGGAAATGGCAAGATTAGAAAACAAATTATGATTGATAAAAGCAGTCATTGAGCGACTTCAACAGGTATCAGTAAGTTGAAAATTATTTCCTGCTTGTACACCTTTTTCAAAGTTAAACACTGAGAAAGACTTATGGTCTAAAGGTATTGCTATTGTTAAAATAACATTATGTTTAATTTGACAAATCTATCTTATGTACTAAAATTATTGAATCTGTATTTTACTTTCAGTTGTCTGCTGGGTGACAATATTAACCAAAAGGATAAGAAATCACACAATCAAGATTTGTCAAATCTTGCCCTGGGTTACTGCCTCACTGTATTTCACAAAAGCTGCTTCTCTCCTTGTTCCACTTCTCACATTTATAGATGAGATTGGCACTTCCCAATTGGTGACATATCCAGTGGTGAACAAATATTTTAGAAATAAATTATTCTCTCTTTTTTGAGGAGGAGTACATCATATAAAATCATATTGACATTCCTTAGAAAATCTCAACCAAAGTGAGATAGGGATGAAAGCTATGTGTCTATTTAACTTTCATCTCAATTTACTTTTGAAAATATACATCAAGGTGGCAAAAGAAGTAAACAAATTTAATTAAAATTAATTTAAAATATTCTCTTGTGAAAAAGAGAAAACCTTCATTAAAACATCAAATTCCAGTTGCTTAGATACACTCCATCCTGACCTTGCAATCATCTTTGAACACATAAAGCTGGAGAACAATTTAAATATATTTGTTATGTATAAGTAACTGTGGTCAGTCCATTAAATTTAATTTTATGGTAGTTTACCTTTTTAATCGACAAATATATTCTTACTTCAAGTTTCTCAATTGTTACTTTATCACTTAGATTAGATTGATTTTACAAAATTCAGTAAGTGCAACACAATCTCTGATTATTTTGTACAAAAGGAACTAGTTTACTATTTTTCCTGAAATGAACAAATGCATCTTTCATAAAAGTGATGCCTGCTTACTTGTGATTTCATCAAAACAAAGTTGTATCCATCTCTAGTTTCTTCAGAAATTTCACTAAACTAATAAAATTAAGCATAGTCTGTGTGGATCCATGGTACAGTATATACCCATAAAGAATTATAGCTCTATTTGGACAGGACTCAGTATATCATTTGAAATTGTTTAAAACTCTCCCCCTTTCCCCCCCTATATTCTTTAGCAAAAAGCCACTTAAGTGAAGGTGGGTAGGGTAAAAGGAAGAATTTATTCCTTTACATGCTAATGTTTGACTGAAAGAGGTGTTTGGGAGAGAGAGAGGGAATACTGACAATATAATGCAAGTATGTTCCTTACGGATGTTACTAACCCAGGCTACTCCAATACACTATTGCTGTTGACAATCTGAAGTAGGCTGTATTTTGTTTAAATGCTGTGCTCCTTGAATAATCATGTCATTTCATGATTTTTAAAGTGTAATAATACAAAAGAACTTGGTTATTCCACCAAGGAGCGCAGTTTTGTTCAGGTTCTAATAAATGGTTTAATTTGTATTACAGCACAAATATCACTCTTCACCAAGTTTGGTACATAGCATGTACATAGGACATTTTATATTTCTTAATAAGGCCAATTGAATAGCACTTTAGATTGGCTCCTCAAGATCAATTCAATGTAACTGAATACAAGATAAAATTACCAAAGGAAAAAACAGCCATCAACAAATAAAACTGGTCAAGTCTTGCCGTAGAGAAAATTCCAAAAGGAAAAAAAAAAATATGGATGTATTTGACATCATTCCATTGCTGCTTTAGTATCAAAATTTCTAGAGCTGGGCCACAAAGGAAATGGCTACAAAGGATTAACACTTAGGAGTAATGCTTGGTGCTGTGTCCTGGATTTAACAATATTAACAGAAGTCTGCACAGTTAAATCCTTCTACATCCTGCTGAAAATGTGCCCTTTGGTGTCAACTTTGCTTGACAAGATATTTTCTGGGACTCAGAAAGGTGAAATTTCTTACAGGGGTGTAAGATTAATGGCTAGAAGAACTGCATTGTCACAGATATCACAAAATGTTTTTAAAACACCAAAGGGGATTTAGTCTTATAGACATTTCCTGTTACTGAATAGAGAGATTGAGCAGCTTTTGGACACAGGAGAGGAAAAAAGACACAAGCTTTTGTTAGATTTTGTCTTACTGCTTCCCTATTTCTCCTATTTCTAATATACCCTGGAATGCTTGTTCCTGAATGCTGCTAAAATTAAAATACTATTAACAATGCAAGCTGAATGGTAATACACATATGTGCAAGCCACACACACACAAAACTCCAACGTAAATTGATTCCTGGGTATACAGCAAATTATACAGTATATACACATTTATTACCTAGTAGTATCTAGAAGAGCAACTAAAAGTAAACTTTATAACACAGAAAAATAAATATACACCCTGTATTGTACTTGTCCTTGATCAAGCAACATGTTTATACACTAGTTTCTATAACTTAACGCTGTGTAACAGCATTTAAAATTACAAAAGAAGATATCTATTTAGAAATTATCTAACCATATTGCTCTTCAATACACTTATGTAGACAATTAAGACTTGAAGTAAACGTCAGTAAATTGCAGCTTTTGTTAGCCTACAGATGGCTATCAAACTTTCCTTTCAAGTAGATTCTTGGAAGTTTTGAAAGGGGCTGCCTTCATTCAGTCTAAAAAGGTGCTATATATAGTTATATATTTCATGTATAAAATTTTGTAGAAGTAGGGAGAAGGATTTTGTTGTTGTAATACAAGATAGTGTTTAAACTTCATGTTCTTATTCCATGCAGGTTATATTTGCTTCATGAAAAATGAAGACACCAAGAGGAAGATAAAGAGATTTTAGTAAAACACTGATTACAAATTCTGTGGCTGAAACAAATGCTCTCTTAATGTTTAGAAATCACTGAGTTTTCCCTTTTTCCCCTTTGTTTTTTGTTAAAATAAATCTCAGAGCTTGTTTACAAAGTGCAGAGTCATTCACTTGACGAAGTGACAATAAACAAGTTACAATGGCACCATCCCGTTGACCAGCTGCACCTTCATTTCTTGAAGGCTGTTCATAATCTTCTTCTGGTGACCAACAAGAGTCACTCCAAGCCGTCTCAAATCCCTGCATGAAGAAAGCACACATTGGATGTATGTATTGACTCAGTTTGTAACACAGCATAATACCTCACGTTGGCAAAGAGGCAAACCTTTTGCAGAAGCTAATTAGATTACAGTCCCAATTTAGATATATGGGGTCCAATTTTCAAACGCAGGCTCTAAAATTGTACCTTAAAATCTGTTTGCAGTCAAAAAATATTTACAACAAGAAGTGATATACATATTTGCCCTTCCCTTTTGGATGATTTTTCGGATGGCACAGAGCAGGGAAAAACAAACTTGCACATTCTCCCAATAAATATTTAAATTAAAGGGTACAATTTCATTGCATGGTTTTGAAAACGTGGACCTACAATATGAATGATCACTTTTTATTTTACTAAAAGAAGTAAGCATAAAATATACTTTAAAAAAATTTCATAGCTAAGCAGTTGAAGACCAAACTTTTCAAATGACTCAAGTCAGCACAATCATCTTGTATATTGGGTATCTTCAGGGGATAATCATCACTACATTGCTTTGATAACACTTAAAATATTTTATTTCTTACTTGGAATCCAAAGTAGCACAGCTTTCTTCCTTTATCAAATATACCTTGGTTCTATTGGCGTTTAGAGCATTCTGAAGATTACACGCTATCAAGAGATCTTTTCAAAAAAGATTTTTATATTATTTCTTTTTAACAAGCTTATTATTCAAAATAAACTTACAAATGTTTAGATTCTTAAACTAATAGCATATTTTGGCATTCAAAGCCAGAGCTCATGGTTTTTAAATATTGTTTCACAGGATATCTAGGAATTCTATTTTCCCAAAATATGCATTTGACAAATATAATAATTCAGATATGTTTGACAAATAATAATGTTAATTATTAAAAAACTGAGCACTAGTGATTCAAGATGTTTCAATGACAAGATTTTAAAATGTTTGCCATGTTAGATTTCCTTAGATAATTACTCTGCTTAACACATTATGCTAAAAGGAGAATATTTTTGCATCAGTAAATGTACTAATTTCAGACTGTCTTAGAATTCTTTAGAATTGGATACAATTGGACTGGAATTATAGGTAAAACTGAATAGTTTTGGACGCTCAAAAAATCTCTTAATTATCAGAGGATAGAAAGTTAATAAATGGGTACTTAAGTTCTATGTGTATTAGTATTGGAAATATTATTTATCTAAGGGATGTGGATTTGATCTCTGGGTCACGAAGATACCCTGGAAGAGGAAAGCCCCCTCCAGTAGTCTTGTCTGGAGAATTCTATGGACAGAGGAGCCTGGTGGGCTACAGTTAGTCCATGGGGTCACAAAGAGTTGGACACAACTGAACAGCAGAGTTGAAGCGACTTAGTAGCACCAGAAAGTAATACATCAGGTGTCTTTTTCCTTTTATGTTTTGTTGATTTCTTATGAGAGTTTTAGCAAATGGCAAATAGCTAAAGAAAAACAATGAACACTTATGGTGGAAACATTTCTTTATTTGAATGTAAATGTGAAACATTTAATTTAGAAATTATTATGGCTACAAGACACCAGAGTATAATAAAATTAAGAATAACGAGGCAAGGAAGACAATCATCAACAAAACTTAAAAACCAGTAAAATTTCAGTTTAAACAAAATCACTATTGTTAGTTATGAATGGGTTTCCTTGGTGGCTCAGCTGGTAAAGAATCTACCTACAAAGAGGGAGATCTGGGTTTGATTCCTGGGTTGGGAAGATCTCCTGGAGAAGAGAATGGCTACCCACTCCAGTATTCTGGCCTGAAGAATCCCATAGAAAGTCCATGGTGTCGCAAAGAGTCAGACAGACTTACTTTCACTAGGCATGAATAGATTGTAAAATAGCTAATGGCAGACTAACATAGGAACAAAAGAGATTTGTGTTTAATCTGGTCTTTTTTCAATTCAACCGGGGTTTCTGAGCCTTGCCCCTGTTAACATTACAGGCTGGATAATTATTTGTTTGTAGGGGCTACCCTGTGAATTGAAGGACATCTACCAGCATGCCTTACCTGTTCCCACAAAATACCAGAAATACTGGATGGCCACTGGCCCTTTGTCGTAACAAGACAAAATGTCTCCAGACATTGCAAAGTGTCCCTTGAGTGGAAAAATCTCCATTGGCTAAGAAGCATTGCGATAAATATAATAAAATAGGTAACAATTAAGATGTCCTTTTCCTATATGCTAGGAAAATATAGAAGCAACATGATATAGATTTTTGTTAATTTCCTTTTATGGATGAGAAAACAATTTCTCATTTCTCTGAGATATAATATTGAGCAAAAAACTTTAAATTACCTGCAGAAATTTATTAATATGTGAAATGAAAAATCTGTATATATAACATCAAATATCCAGAATTCCAAAAGAAAGAAGATATTTAATGAAGGAAACAAAACACATGATTATTTGACTGAATCTATGGTAATCCAGTCTATACTTCATGGCAACTACAGTTATGGGCTAATTAACACTGTCATATTTCCACATGTAACATGTATTATGAATTATGAAGACAATTTATGAGTGCTCACTACCAAGTTTTGGACTTACATCAGGAGAAAAGGGGATAAAATTTCTTAACCTGAAAGCAGTCAATCTCTACTAGAGAATGTAAATAATTAGAACTTGAAATAAAGTTTAAAACATGTTTTATCATGTTTTATAAACCTACATGTGGTTTGACAAAGGTTTGAAAGCAATGATTTAATATATACATACTTAAACTGCAGAATCCATATGGCTAATCCAATTATTAAGAATGAGTTTTTGAAAATAGCTATTATAGTTTTTCTGAAAGACCTGAAAAAATATTAGACTTTCCTCCTCAAACAGGGTGAACTTTGCATGTATAATACTGAAACCTTAAAGTGTGTGTGTTTCTGGAGTGTGGTGCATGGGCGTAAGTGTGTATGTATTCCATATTCCAAGTCTTGATTGCTTTGCCTCTTATTAAATCATTAGTTTGACTTATTTTTGTTTCCACTGTCTTTATCTGTTAATATATCTACATATAACTTCATTCTCTGCAAATAACCACAAGAAAGAATCTGGTTCAGTGCTTTGGGAATTTACATTTTTCATGACATCTATATCATGCTAAAGAATGAATATCTTAAGAAATTGTATTTGATTAATACAGTTAGAAAGTTTGTGTTTATAGGCAAATAAAACCTGACCTTCTTCAGAACATTTCATGTATCTAGGTTAAGTTAAATTTGTTTAAATTTTTCCAAGCACAAAATTTTATTTAGGGTCATCTTATGACCTGATAATCCCCTAACATTCATACAGAATTTCATACCAGTGAAATTCTCTATCCTTCTCTCTCTTCTTACATTTCACCTCCCACCTCTATCTACACCTCTTTCCATGGGATAAATGGATTTATGAAAATACAGCACTCAGTTTTACATACTGTCATTAATTACGTGTCTTTAATGGAATGCTGTTTTTGAGGTCTGACCTGTCATTTCAAAAGCTGTCAAATTAATGTGCAGAGATTTAGAAAGTAGCATGATTATAATGCTGCAGTGTACATTTACCTTTACACAATGTGATTTTGAAAATGTGGGGACAAACAAGATTATTCATGCAGTTAAATCTGTTCTCAGGAGCAAAGTTCTTTCTTTAAAAATTCCATTTAATATTTTCCTACTAAAATCACAAATGAGAATTAAAAAGGTATTAGGAAAATGTTTCCTGTAAAGGTTAAGTAACTTTATTCCAATATTGATAAATACACTATGGTATTTTCTTTAATGTAGCTTTGTTTCACATTTTTATGATTTCCAATAATTTCCATTTTACTTCTTAAAGCACCTATTAAATGGTCTATTTAACAGTAATAATGTGAGAAATTTGATAAAAATAAAAGTATTTTCCATTACATGATAAAGGTGCTACTCTATAATTATTTTTGAAAAAATACTTGAAAATGTATTATTTTAATCATTTCATTTATCTATACAGGAGGTTTTGTAGCAAGGGAAAGTTTTAGGTGTGTCCCCTTTACATATATGATACTAATTTTATCATGACCACGTGTAATCTTAAGTAATACCCAAAGCCAATTGAATGATGATAAACTAAATTTCAGCATAGGCTTATGAATCTAAACATGATCGACTAATATTGTTACATAAAAAAGTTTTAATTCTGTCAACAAAACATGATTAGTTTTAGAAAAGCTGTAAATATAAATGAATTGCCCTTGTTGTGACAACATTCCAATCTTTTTTTCAAATGTTATTTCCTAATATAAAATAATGGAAAACACTGGTATTATGGTGTTAAATGGCAGAATGAAAAATAGAAACTAAACAAGAGGTTTAGTTGATGTTGGAGCCAACTCTTGATTATTCAGGATGTAATTTATCCACTGGTAGAGGAAACATTCCCTTACATTCTTCTCCCTTCTGCTTTACACATCTTTTAGCCATATCACTGGTTACTTAGCCCCACCAACACAGGCTGGATAGGAGAAGGGAGAAGAGAGCTTAGTGAACATTCACTAAATTTCAGTGTTTATTCTTATTGTCATAGTTTTATGATGCAATTGTATATTTGGGATTTTTTTTTTTGGTTCACTTCGAAGAATCCTGATAATCATTATACATGTACTGTACAAGGTATACATATATCTTGGCAAGAGAGGACTTAACAATGACCTAGCTATAAGTTTCAATGACTGAGACCTTGTAAGAGTCACACTGGATGTTTTAGCTTACTTACGCAGAACACAGAGGATAGTAAGTACTCATATGTGTTCTTTAGGCATATAATAAATTTTGCATAATGACTTAATCGATGAGTTAAATTTGGGTTGAAAGTAAAAGTGAAAGTCGCTCAGTCATGTCCGACTCTTTGCAACCCCATGGGCTATACAGTGCATGGAATTCTCCATTTGAGTTAGTGTGCACAAATTTTGGCTCTAGATTTGTGACACTTAATTTTAATATTTCAAGGCCCTAATTTAATAAATAAGTAAATAGGAATTGCTTCAGCTTACACACGATTGGTAAAATAAAGTTTACTGGATTTTATTCATTTTCTGAATAATCAAAAGTTGACAGTACTGATGTGACAAGAAGTTTAAAAAACAGCTGTGATACTGTCCTTATTTCCAATATTTGGATTCAGTGTGAAATTCACCTCAAGCTCACAGATCCCCCTGTAGACCATAACTCCCTGCACTTAAACACCACAGTACAGATTGCATCATTGCTGCTACAACAATTGTTGTCATATGAGCACCGTACCCAGAACAGCCAAGTTTAGGCACAGAGAACAGCAGACAGAAACATCTGAAGTTGAAAGCCACTTTCGTTGAATACATTTTAGCTCTAAGTTCTTAAAATATTTCATTTCTATTCCACATCAAGCCTTACATATATGTGCTAGCCAAAAAAACATAAATAAAATTAAACCTCTATGAAGGAAATTGTCACCAAAGTATGTGGTTCTGAAAAATTATAATTGTTTCCTCTTCCTTATTCAAAATCCATCATAAGAACAAATTTGATGGCACAAATTATATTAATAACATATTTTTTTTATGTATGTATATGGCAGTTTGGTCTTTTGCTTTATATTAATTAATTTTAACTTTTTTCCAAGCATTTCTTACAAGTATGAATATATTCTTCCAGTTCGCAGTTTCAAAATTATACTCTGGCAATAATACTTGCATATCTTATTTCATTATAGTTTATACAGGTTACATAAAATTATTATTTAGACAGGGCCTAGTGACTAAACAACAACAAAGACCATGTAGAAATAAATCTTTAACTATTTAAGATTTTGTCTTTGTCTTTACTAATATTTTAGTTCCTTTGTCATAGTCCTTAAAATGACTGTTTTTTTTTTTTTTGGTCAAGAGCAAGCAAAATGCACATATAATCTTTTTTTTTATATTCTTGACCAAACAAGTAACTGATCACTCATTCTTCTGTGAGTTATTTAACATAACATTTTGATAAATATGTTCTTACTAATAGGGGGAAAATGTGGTAAAAAACACAATAAAGAAGAAGACATGTGTTGGATTCTCCAATAAATCGGCTTCACTTAAGATTGGTTGGCTCAGTTCCTAGTAAGGAATGTGGTATTTATAGTCCCAGGAAACTGAAGCAATTGACACATTGAGACCAACATTCTCTGAACAGGAAGATGTTGGCAAATCTCTTAATTTCACCTTATTCTTAGGTCAGAGTAAATAAATTAAAACATAAAATATCTGAAAGGAGGCAATACAGAAGGCAACATGCTATCAAAGCAACAGAGAGAGAAGAAACTGACCCATGTAGAGAAGATTTGACCAGACAAAAATACAGGAAAATAGAAGCAAGCTGCAGACCATCACAAGATGAAAGAAGCTATTAAGTCTTGAAAGAAAACACAAAATGAGAGAGTTTTGAAACAGAAGGGACAATAGAAAAGCAAACAGAAAGGAATTATTCAAAATAAAAAAAAGTGAAACCATAATGTAAAATATTCAACATATTTATAGTATTTGGGGGCTCCAATGAAAGTAAAACAGAGGAATTAATGCAAAAGCCATTATTAGTGATTATAACTATTCTGTTAAGGAGAAACAAAAAAGTAGTGGATATAAATATATACATGTATATGTGCTATTTTAATAAAAAGAGAGACATGGTTTAATGCAAATAGTTTTATTATATATTTACAAGTAATCTGACATTGGGTAGAAGAAATACCTACAGTATCATTTTAATATAAAATGACAAATGACTTTAATAAATTAAAATGACCATTTTTACTGAAAAATTAAATAGCAATCATGTAAAAATAGTTTTAAATTATCAATAAATTTTTCTGTTTACTATTTCAAATATAGTACTAATGAGTTTTTCGAGTGTCCAAAGAAATAATGGGAAAAGTATATGTGCTCTCAAGTAGATATGATCTAGTGGTGATGGTGAGAATGATATTCAATAAATTAAGATAGCCAGCTAAGTAGTGATTTTAGGTCCTTTTAGTTATAGTTATGAAGAAGAGAAATTCTGAGAAAGTGACATTAATTGGTGATCAGTGATGGTACCCTGTTACCTTTTCTGTGGATAGGCAGTGAGTTCAATGAACCAGAGAATGCCAGAGTATAAATGGTGAGAACCAAGTGCTCAGTGTTCATATTATGTGATGTAATGGAAGAAAGACTGTGGTTTAGTGCTTTAGAAAGTTCTACCATGCTTTAAAACTTACAACAATATTTTAACCTTTGAATGTGTAGGCAATTTGAACTGTTATTATTATATTCATAGGTTAAAACATCATTTGTGTTAATGTAATCCAGATGTAACCACCATAACAACAGTTAGTTTTCACAAATTACAAATATTAGGCTAAAATAATGACACATACAGAGTATATAATAAAATTCAAACAACTTACAACCTTAAATAATTCAATTTTTAATTCTAGTGATTTTTACATAATAAGATCTGATAGATTTTGTCTTAAACGTGCAAAAAGAAGAGGGCACAATTGGTTTCCACTGAGATTGTACCAAATAGCAAAAATCAAGGCAGGGTCTACTATATCCTTGGATTGCAAGAATATAAGATGCACCACTGATAGAGTAAACGGGATGAGATTCCTGCCCAGGAAGCTTTGTTTAAGCTGTTGTTATCTGGGTATTCACCCAAGCCGAAACTTAAGAGTATGTTTCGTTGTTATAGGGCTAGCTGCACCAATTGTGCTTACAGTTTATTTTGTATTTACATTCATATAACACAAGTATCAGTAGAAAAACTTCTGTCAAGAAAACATCTTTTCTACAACACAAAGTACCAGTATTTTGCCAAGATGTTATTCCAGTCAATCAAATACTCAAATACTATTTGTTTGAAGCAAAGAAGCAAAGATACTGGCCACAAGTAGCAGTAATCATGCAGTTGTTAACAATACAGGCTAAAAATGAAGATGCTTCTTTGAAAGCTGCCACACACGGACAAAGGTTAACTGATTTCCCTTGATCTCATCCAGATTGGTTTCTGAACAATTTTTCTCGCCCCAGCAATTATGTAAAAATTATCAGAAAAATTACTCACTCCAAGGTCACCTGAGCCACAGCGTCCATTGAACTGTATCCATTTTCCATGAAAATCTCTGTATATCGGCCCATTTTGATTGCTTCTAGCCATTCGCCTACTGATCTGTAGGCCCCAGATCCCAGTGAGCCATGTTCTGCCAATAAATTAGATACTCTAAAACACAAAAAACACAAATATTAAAAAATTTTATTGTAATATTAACTCATTACCAATGGATCTTTGAGTTTATAAGAATATTTATAGGAGAAAAATATACAAATGCTAACAAGGAAGAAAATAATTCAAAAAACAGAATGCAAAAATCAGCCTATTCAGATTTTTCCTATTCATAGTTAATAATGACTTATAATGGTTTGATAACTGAATTTTCTGTAACACAAAACATTAGCTAAAAGTTCCATGTTAGTAATTTAGATGTATTTATTTCCTACTGTGGTTTTGTTTGTAAAATACAGAAATTGCTACCAAATAGAGAGATGCAGGATAATTTGTGTAAAGTCAATTGCTTCTAGACTTTGCTAGAGAAACTTGTGCTAATTTAATCTTATTTCCTAGAAGACCAGAAATTAGTTATTTTTTATTTTATGCTCTTACATAGGAGTGCTTCTTAACTCATGTAGGAGTAGTAGAAATGAAAAGCAAAATGTAACCCTTAATATTAATACATAAGAAAACAAAATAGAATTAATCAAACTATGTGCTTCTCTAAACTATGTTAAATTTACACTCCTTGACCAATAATATATGAAATGATGATGATGATTTCTGGAAATGTATCCTAAGAAAATAATCAGGAAAATAGCAAAAAATACATGCACACTTTTTTGCTAAAGAAACATCAATAGCAATTTAAATGTCCATCAGTGGGATTTTACTTCAGTACACTTCAATCATTCAGTTCAATTCAGTTCAGTCGCTCAGTTACGTCCGACTCTTTGTGACCCCATGAATGGCAGCACACCAGGCTTCCCTGTCCATTACCAACTCCTGGAGTTTATTCAAACTCATGTCCATCGAGTCGGTGATGCCATCCAGCCATCTCATCCTCTGTTGTCCCCTTCTCCTCCTGCCCCCAATACCTCCTAGCATTAGGATCTTTTCCAATGAGTCAACTCTTTGCATGAGGTGGCCAAAGTACTGGAGTTTCAGCTTCAGCATCAGTCCTTCCAATGAACACCCAGGACTGATCTCCTTTAGGATGGACTGGTTGGATCTCCTTGCAATCCAAGGGATTCTCAAGAGTCTTCTCCAACACCACAGTTCAAAGGTACCCATTTTTCGGCACTCAGCTTTCTTCACAGTCCAACTCTCATCCATACATGACTACTGGAAAAACCATAGCCTTGACAAGACAGACCTTTGTTAGCAAAGTAATGTCTCTGTTTTGTAATATGCTAACTAGGTTGGTCATAACTTTCCTTCCAAGGAGTAAGCATCTTTTAATTTTACGGCTGCAATCACCATCTGCAGTGATTTTGGAGCCCCCAAAAATAAAGTCTCACATTGTTGCCACTGTTTCTCCATCTATTTCCCATGAAGTGATGGGACATGATCTTAGTTTTCCGAATGTTGAGCTTTAAGCCAACTTTTTCACTCTCCTCTTTCACTTTCATCAAGAGGCTTTTTAGTTCCTCTTCACTTTCTGCCATACGGGTGGTGTCATCTGCATATCTGAGGTTACTGATATTTCTCCTGGCAATCTTGATTCCAGTTTGTGCTTCTTTGAGCCCAGCATTTCTCATGATGTGCTCTGCATATACATTAAATAAGCAGGGTGACAATATACAGCCTTGACGTAATCCTTTTCCCATTTGAAACCAGTCTGAATTGGTCCATGCCCAGTTCTAACTGTTGCTTCCTGACCTGCATATGTTTCAACCATTAGTACAGGACAAATACCTTTCTTTCTACTCATGTTCTCTGCACTTTCTCACATCCCATTTATACTTCAACCTACTTTGGTGTAGTTTCTTCCAAACCAGTTTTATAAAAATTTCTTTGGTTAAGGTGAATAATGATCTCAATTATGTCAAAATCTGTGAAGATTTTCCAGTAGGTCGCATGACTAACCTCTCAGAAACATTCAACAATCACCACCACTACCATCTCCCCCTTGCAATCTTACCTTATCTCAACCTTTTTTGAATCACTATTCTTTCTTTTGTGGCTTCCATAACATGGTATGCTTCTCTTCGATCTCCTTTGCTTGCTCTTCTGTTTGACTTTAAAATTTGGAAGGAGCCAGGACACGGCCCTACATCTTCTCTATTCAGGCTATAACTTAACTTTGGGGAGTTTTACCCACTTCCATGCTTCAAACATCATCTATTTTTCTCTGATTTTCATCTCCTGCCTAAGTCGCTCATATATTCACATGTCTACTTCATGACTCCTTAGTTCTTGGGCTTCTAATCACAACACATCCAACACCACACTACTCATCTTCTACACATCCAATTCCTCCTGAAGTCCTCCTTCTTATAGTCTATGATACAACTGTCTGCTCCTTCCTTGTCTTCAGTCCCTTCACATCTCTAATTGTGTTTCTTATCTATTCTACTTCCAATCTGTTGCAAATCTGACCACTTCTCTCTGTCACCAACTTAGTTCAAGACATCATCATGTCTTATCTGCACAAGCACATTAGCTTATAGTTATTCTACTAAATTTTATTCTCACTCTCCACTCTAAAACTAAAGTTTTTTTTTAAGTTTTTATTTTATTTCATCTCTCTCTCCTGCAAGAGTTTGTTGCTCATTTCTGCATACTCAGCACCTACTCCACAGCCTGACACAGAATACACACATGAATATTTATTGGATGAATAAATAGATATTTTGTAGTAATTTGTAGTCAATAAATAGTCAAAGATTTGTTGAATTTGGAGAACAGGATCTTGAAGTTGAGATAATAGAAGAGATGCAATTTGGGATAATAGCAAAATCTAGAATATGACTATGAAAAAGAGTTCAAGGTGGGTTAGAGACCAAAATCAATGAAGGAGAAAATTTCAAGGTATTGAGAAATATTTGAATATCATCTACATGGTTACTCAATTCACCTAATTTTGTGACATGTGTAGGAACAGAGAGAAAGAGACAGTGAATCAGGAACTAACACCTTTGAGAACCAGGACTTGTAGATGAATGAATACAAAATCAGGTAGAGAGTGATACAGCCCTCCCCCTACTAACTGCAGCTGATTGATTCCAGGACCGGCCTTCCACACAGTTAATACCCAAATCCATGGATGCTCAAGTTTCTTATATAAAATGATGTAGTAGATTCAGCCCTCTGCGTCCACACATACAGAGGGTTGGCCGTAGAGTCTTAAGCTAAATCTGTTAAAATGAAACCTAGTAATCTGAATTCTATGTAATACATATATAAAGTAATATGAAAATTTGTTGGATATTTTTCACTGCTCCCAACCTACAATGATGATGTTGAAATTAATACAATTTAGAACTTAAAATTTATCTTTATGATTTCCTTTCCTTACATCAACTTATGACAACATAATTCAAACAACTAGAGAGAAATACAATATTTTAGATGACAGCAAACAAATTAAAAGCAGTTATTTTGGGAATAACATAAGGAGTGATCTCTAAGATGCATTCTCCATTTGCTACCACAGAAAGCTAATGATGCCTGAACAAAGTTTGAAGATTCATTCCTCATTTGTATTTAAAAATGACTCTTTGTCTAGTAAACGAATGTTTATACCAGAGTCACAGAACTTATATAACTTTATCAATAAATTGTTTCTCATTTGGTGCATACTATGTGCAGTCAATTCAGCCACCAGCAGGATACCTTTTCTTGTAGAGAACGATAACTGCCTTATATGTAATGAAAATAATAATCTGGTATATTTCCTAGTACATAATCAAAATGATATACTTTTTGAGAGGATAATTTTGTAATTTTCCAGGTAAAAGAGTTAAGAATTCTTTATATAAGGTAACATTATTTAAATGCATTTACATGCATTCAGAAAAGTTTAAAAAATGCTCATTTGCTCACACAAGTTTTTTCCACAAGATTACTCATTTATTAATTTCAAGTCCTGTTCAAACTACACAGTAAATGATTATCCAAATATCTATACTCAACTGGATAAGAGGAAAGAGTCCCTTAAGGAGTTGTTGATGTTTATAGAATAAGACAGGTTGAGAAATCTAGCTAGGGAAATCAAGAGTAATTGTTATGTATCTCTGGTTTAAAATTTTATCAGTGCTTAACTGGCTTTTTCCCATGATCTTATAATCTTATAGGTCTCCCCATCCAAACCTATGTGGGGTTCAAAGCACTAGAGAGTACATATATTTGGGGATTTTTAAAAAATCTTACCTGAATTTGACTACAATTAACATTTATCTGAAACTGGTAGGTTATACTATTAGATTAGGTATAGGTGTTTTTAAGTATAATTTAATCATTTATATTTCATTCATGTAAAGAAAATTATGCAAAAACCATATTCAAATAAATTAGTGTAATGTAGGTTCATAGGCTAGTATGTGTACAAAAATAATTTCATTAACTTGATATCTGTGGCATTAATCTGAATTTGCAATATTCAGAAAAATCTCCCCAGTCTGGCCTTGTACCTGCTTGATGCATTAACCAGTGTCTTCAAGCTACTTGGGTTACGGATCAGCTTGTCCAACATGTTGACAATTTCTTCGAATTTGGGCCTGCTATTTCGATCTTTCTGCCAGCAATCCAGCATTAATTGGTAGAGAGCAGCAGGGCAGTCCATGGGGCTTGGCAGACGATAGCCTTCCTCTACGGCTTTAATCACCTGTGTAAAGTGAAAGAGAACGGGTCCCCCAATGTCACAGATTAAATACAGAATAGCTTGAGAAATCTCCCACTGCTCAGTTGTATCCTTACTCTTAATCTTGCAATAACAACCAGCATCACTGCCTCTAACACCCCCCATTACTCCTTTTGCTGCAAAATACGATGAAAAGAAACAATAGGCTATCATACAATATAAGATAGGCTTTCCTCACTTATGATAAAGAAAATAAATGGTAATCATTTTTACCTAAAATCTTGATAAAGAATGATTTGTAAAATTAATTGACATAAAAGCAAATAGTTCATACTTTATTTATCCTCACATTCTGGAATCAAATAGAGATTAACTTTTCTACTGATTTCTCTGAAAATGTAATGTCTTTTTAATGAGAAATTATGTGTAGAATCACATGTTTTAAAACAATAGAAGCACAATTTTACTTCTAAAGAGACTTTTGGATGGCAAATGATGGATAAGTCAAAGGCTAAATTAGCATAACTGTCTCATGTATCATTTAATAATATCAAGGTCTGGCTGTTTATTATCATCTACTGTTTTCAGTCTGGAATTTGGAATGACTGTTTAGTAGTGTGAGCATTACAAACATCATTGATTTAAAATGCAACCACACATATAAGCATCAGTCTAATTGTGAGATTTTTTTTTCATCAAAAACATTCTTAATGTTGCTGCTGCCATCAAAATATCTAACTCCAGAAGAGAACTGTTTATGTTATCAAACAATAATATATATTTTATTCAATTATTTAAATTCTAATATTTAAATGATACCAAAACCCAATAATGATGAGCATATTTCTCAAGTCCTATTTGAATATTTTCTTAACAATTGTTAAGATTTGACCTGGCAATTAGAAAAAATAGGATTAGAATAGAGAGTTTATAAAGACAATCTTGAAAGGTTGGAGAGAAATCAGTCTTCTAATGATAAAGGAAACAACATTTAAACAAAAGCAGGGCAGATGGAGGAAGACAAAATGGCAGATTTCAGAGACATTTATCACACAGGGGTAGAGGGGATAGTAGAGAAAATTTTTGAGAGAAAAGAAGTTCAAGCCTTTCATGCTGGTTGATTTTTGCTGTTAATTTTAGGTAAGAACATTTATGGGGGTGGGAAATGTTGACAGGTATAATTTGGAGCTTGTTTTATTTGAAGTAAGTTTAGGCAACTGCAGATGGCAATTTGCAGGAATCTGGCTAGAGTACAGGAGATATTTGGGCTGATAATATGAATGTGAGGGTCATCAGCACTTGGTCACAGCTTGAAGTCGGGTGTAGTTTATAGCTCCCTGGGAAGGACACAAAATAAAGGTTCCTGAGAAGCACCAATAGTTAAGTTCAGGCAAAGAAATAAAAAGAATTCAAGGACTCTGAGAGTCATCTACTGCTTTAGTTGACTCAAAAACAATACAAAAAGTTAAAAGGCAAATCATAGTAGAAAATATTTTAAAAATTATAATATATAGTTAACATATCTTGTGTATTAAAATCTCACACAGTATTGAGAAGTAAAATAATAAAACAACAAATAAGAAATAGGTACTAATAAAAAATTTACAAAAGAAAAAAGTGCTAAATCAATTCTGAGAAATTGTTATCACTAGTGATCAAATAAATGAATAGTAAAAATTAAAAGTGCCATTTGCACTCCTATATTAATGAAAGTTCATTTATTAATTTGCTTATTATAAGACTCCACATTATTTATAAAGACAATGGTTATTCTATAATAATGTCTATGTAGCAGAATTAAATGCCTTAATAGAGTTTATATCATGAAATATTTTACTATGCAGTGAAAATAGTCATTCATATTTACATAAAACCTGATATATCTTATAATGTGCTTGTCCTCAAAACTTGATACTAATTATGCCTATTTTTTCCTTTGACATCTATTTTTAAAAATTATTTTCTTTCCTTCTCTGATCAGCTAGTCTTAAAAGTCAGGGGTCCCCAAACTCCAGGATCTAAAACCTGATAATCTGAGGTGTAGCTAATGTAATAATAACAGAAATAAAGTACACAATAAATGTAATATCTTTGAATCATGTGCCCTCTTTTCTCCTCCCCCAACACCCCATACCCTAGTCCATGGAAAAATTATCTTCCATGAAACCTGTCCCTGCTGCCAAAAAGCTTGGGGACCGCTGTTTTATGTGATCATGAAATGAATAAATTAAACCAATTCCTTAGTTTTAAAAGAATTTGTAAGTTATTTGATCTGAAAAACTATTTCCAGATATTATTACTTAATTTTATTTTCAGCTGTAATTTTATATATAGATATAATACTCTGTCTCTAAGTTAACTTAGAACTTGGCCCAGTAATTAGGTCATTGAATTTAATTCTAAATTCATCTTTAGAATTTATATTTAAAATAGATTTAGTGCTATAATTTTACATTTTATATTTGGATATTGTGCAGTTTTTTTTTTTTAATTTTTACTTATTGTTCCCTTCATAGCTTGAGGGAGAAATGAATGGCGTTACTACTCTGGTGGTTTGTGAAAAGATAGAAATCTACCAAAGTTCTATGTAGGCTGTTCATTTTACCATAAAATTTAAAATGTATGGCCAATGAATCATAATCTAATTAATTGACTTTGTTATTATGATTATATTTCTTAATGTACATGGTTGAGAAGAACAAATGAAAAGATAAAAAATAAATAAAAAGACAGCCAGAATTTTTACAGACAACCTGGTACCATTTCAGACTTTATATCTGAAATATTGTCATATGCTATGCATTTTCTTGGCAATGACATGTAAATCAATAGTCTGAACACAATTTAAAGAATGCTGCCTCTCCTTCCAATAAATAAATCCCAACATGGAGCACTATTATGATAAGGCAGTAATTACCTGGTGGTGACTCTGATGGGCCCTTTCTATCACGCAAGAATCAGTGGGTTCATCTTTCAGGTACATACTTTTTTGGGTATGGTTTGCTTTTGCTACCCACAGAGCTCTAGTTAGTATTATAGGTTGGAATGCCTGATCCACAAACGTGAACTCACATCTAGCATATCACATAACTAGAATAGCCACATCATAGTGAAGGGTCTGTGAGCTTATCACATACATAACGATATGCTGGTAAATATTTAACAACTTTCTCTTCTTGAGGGGAAAATTTATAACATTGCTTTGTTGTTGTCGTTCAATTGCTATCGTATCTGACTCTTTGCAATCCCAAAACTGCAGCATGCCAGGCTTCACTGTCCTTCATTATCTCAAATTCATGTCCATTGAGTCAGTAATGCTATCTAACCATCTCATCCTCTGTCACCTTCTCTTTTTGCCTTCAACCTTTCCCAGCATCTGGGTCCTTTCCAATGAGTCGGCTCTTCACATCAGGTGGCCAAAGTACTGGAGCTTCAGGTTCAGCATCAGTCCTTCCAATGAATATTCACGGTTGATTACCTTCAGCAGCGACTGGTTTGATTTTCTTGCTGTCCAAGAGACTCTTCACCAGTACCAAAATTCAAAAGCATCAACTCTTCAGCGTTCAGCCTTCTTCATGGCCCAACTCTCACATCCATACATGACTACTGGAAAAACCATATGCTTGACAATAAGGAAAATAATGTCTCTGCTTTGTAATACACTAAGTTTGTCATTGCTTTTCTTGCAAGGAGCAAGCCTTTTTTAAAAATTTCATGGCTGCAGTCACTCTATGCAATGATTTTGAAGCCTAAGAAAATAAAATCTTCCACTCTTTCCACTTTTCCCCTTCTGTTTGCGATGAAGTGATGGTACCAGATGACATGATCTTAGGTTTTTGAATGTTGAGTTTTAAGCCAGCTTTTTCACTCTCCTCTTTCACCTTCATCAAGAGACTCTTTAGTTCCTCTTCACTTTAGCCATTAGAGTGGTATCATCTACATATCTGAGATTGTTGGTATTTCTCCAGGTAATCTTCACTCCAGTTTGTGATTCATTCAGCCTGGCATTTCACATGATATCTCTGCATAGAAGTTAAATAAGCAGGGTGAAAATATACAACCTTGAAATACTCTTTCCCAATTTTGAACCAGTCAGTTGTTCCAAGTCCAGCTCTAATTGTCATTTCTTGTCCTGAATGCAGGTTTCTCAGGAGACAGGTAAGGTGGTCTGGTACTCCAACTCTTTAAGAATTTTCCTCAGTTTGTTGTGATTCACAACAAAAGCTTTCACATAGTCAATGAAGCAGATGGCTTTTTTTTTTTTAAGTCCTTGCTTTTTCTATGATGAATGGATGTTGGCAATTTGATCTCTGGTTCTTCTGCCCTTTCTAAATCCAGTTTGAACATCTGGTAGTTCTTGGTTCATGTACTGTTGAAGTCTGGATTGAAGAATTTTGAGCCTAACCTTACTGGCATGCAAAATAAGTGCAATTGTCCGGTAGTTTGAACATTCTTTGGCAGTGCCTTTCTTTTATATTGGAATGAAAACTGACCTTTTCCAGTCCTGTAACCACTGCTGAGTTTTCCAAACTTTCCAGCATATTGAGTGCAGCAATTTAACAGCATCATCTTTTAGGATTTGAAATAGCTAATCTGGAATTCCATTACCTTCACCAGCTTTGTTCATAGTAATTCTTCCTAAGGTCCACTTGACTTCACACTCCAGGAAGTGTGGCTCTAGGTGCGTGACCACACAATTGTGGTTAACTGGGTCATTAGGACTATTTTTGTATAGTTCTTCTATGTATTCTTCCCACCTTTTCTTAATCTCTTCTGCTTCTTGTAGGTCCATACCATTTCTGTCCTTTATTGTGCCCATCTTTCCATGAAATGTTCCCTTGGTATCTCCCATTTTCTTGAAGATATCTCTAGTCTTTTTTATTCTATTGTTTTCCTGTTTCTTTGCATTGTTCATTTAAGAAGGCTTTCTTATCTCTCTGTGCTATTCTCTGGAACTTTGCATTCAGTTGGTTATATCTTTCCCTTTCTCCTTTGCCTTTCACTTCTTTTCTCAGCTATTTTTA